ATTTAATTTTCATCATTACTAATTTAATCGATTTTTTAAAATAATTTCATTTAAATAATTTAATTTTTAAATTAATTTTTATTTCGACTTTTTGACTAAAAATGATAAAAATTAAATAATTTTTAATAAAAATTTAATGTTTATTAATTAGATACATACATATGTATTTTTATAATTATTTAAATATTAAGATGTATTTGATAACAACAATGCTTCCTGGAACTTCTCAACAGCAAAACGGGCATACTTCAAACTTTCAACAACAACAGAAACACAACCACCAACATGTTCCCACAGCTCTAATTAATCGAATGCTTCCCACTGAACTTATTTTACGGTAAAAAAATAGATCAGTAGATAGATAAACCTCTACCTCAGGACCATTATGGTTTGATCCAGCTCGTTATTAAATATTAGGCCGTTTGGGATTAAATACTTTTGAACAAATTTATTTAAAGAATAATAATTACAATTAAATTTATGGTTTTTAAAGGGTTTTCTCCTATTTGGATATTACTTCACTTTGTCGATGTGCACAAGTTTGTAGAAGTTGGAATAAATTATCAATGGATGGAAGTAATTGGATGGATGTAGATTTATTTTTATTTCAACGAGAAGTTAAAGTAAATTTGAGAAAAAAATATTCAGAATTTAAAAATCAGAATTTAATTTAGACGGCAGTTGTTGAAAGTTTAGCAAAACGTTGTGGCAATTTTCTCAAAGTTCTTTCATTAAAAGGTTGCGAAAATGTGCAAGATAATGCAATGAGGTCTTTTGCCACAAAATGTCCAAATATTGAAAGATTAACTTTAACTAAATGTAAATTAATTACTGACGGGTAAAATAATATTTAATTGTAAATTAAATATTAAATTAAAGTACTTGTGAATATATTGGGAGGTATTGTTGTAAAATTGTTATGATTGATTTGGAGAATTGTACTTTAGTGACTGATGTTGCCATTAAATTTATAAGGTAATTACTAAATTGGATTGAGAATTGCTTATAACTTGAGGGGAAGTTTTCTTGATTTAAGCAACTTTTTGTGAATCTAATATTTTCTAATGCCAATCTCCATCCCTTTTCCAATTTAGCCATCTTTTTAAATTAATTTCCTTGGAAATTTCAAAATTATTGGGAAGAAAATTAAACATTTTTGTTTTTAAATTTAAAATAAAATCCTTTTTTTTAAATTCAAAATTTAATTTAAAAATTTTATTATTTTCAGTGAGGGTTGTAAACGTTTGGAAGAACTTAATATTAGCTGGTGTGAGCAAATAACAGATTTGGGGCTATTTTATATTGCCAAAAATTGTAATAATTTGAAAACACTTTTTTGTAAAGGATTGGAAAATGTTTGTTATTTTCCTTTAAAAAATATTTTTTTAATTATTTTTTAAAGATAACTTCAAATTGTTTTGCAAATTTAGAAATGGCAGAATTGAGGAGATTAAGTCTGCATTCTTGCCCTGTAAAACAAATATTTTCGAAATTAGTTCATAATTATTTTTTAGAATGTATTGGATGAAACAATTAATGATATTGCTAGGCATTGTCCTCGTTTAGAATTTCTTTCATTATCAAATTGCAAAGAAATTACTGACCTCTCTCTTGTTGCTATATCTCAGGGATGCCCTCGATTAAAGTAAAATTTTAATTTTCTGAAAAGTTGTTAAGTTACACTTTCTTGAATATACATACTCTCTTTTTGTAATTAAACAGTGGAGGATATTTAAAGAATTAATATATAAATAATTTAAAAAGGGATATTGAATTGGCTGGGTGTATTAATCTAACAGATGCAGGCTTTATCCAACTTTCTAAAAATTGTCACGAACTGGAGAGAATGGATCTCGAAGAATGTTTATTAATAACTGGTAAAGAATGAGAGATTGGAATTTTAATTAAAATATTTTTTTAAAAAGATATTACAATTTCTAATTTAAATAATGGATGTCCAAATTTATTAAGTCTTTCACTTTCTCATTGTGAAAATTTAACTGATATTGGTTTGGCTGAACTTTGTGGTCACTTGTTTTTTTTTAATTAAAAAATGTTTTGTTTTAGCTTCTCATAAAGACAGAATACAAGTTTTGGAATTAGATAATTGTCCAAATATAACAGATAATACTCTTGAATCTATGAAAATGTTACAAGTATTGGAGAGAATTGATTTATATGATTGTCAAATGATTACTAAAGATGCAATAAAAAAGTTTAAGGTAAAAAATGAAAAGAAACAATTGTATTTTTAAACAATTATTTAAAAAACGAGTACAAGTTACTGTGACAATATATTTAACAAAAAATACTCTGTAATAAAAATACATGGTTCGGTTTCCGTTCCCTAAAAACTTGATCTATTTTGCCAAATTTTTGCGTTCTGTTTAATCATTTTATCATTATTATGTCAAAGATTTTCTAGATTTCATAATTTCCCTTTATCAAAAATTTTTTAAATTTTCCTAAATAATTTTAACGTCAAGCAATTTTTAAAGAATAATAAAAAATAATATTTAAAAATTATTCAGCAAAGCCGACCAGATGTGGAGGTACATGCTTATTTTGCTCCAGCCACTCCACCACCACAGGTATTAGAAAAAGTTTTTTAAATCTTAATTTTAAATTATTTCAACAATTTTAGGCTCCTCCTGTCCGTAGAGGTATTTGTAGATGTTGTGCAATTTTGTAATAAAAATTTTTTTCAATTTTCTTGAAGAAATTAAAAATAAATTTAAATTTTCACTTTTCCCTACTTTTATTTATACTATACTTAATTCCTCACATCAGCCATTTCCAAGCCTTTTTTCATTATATAATAATTTTAATTAATATTTTTATATGTAAATAAATGTATAATAATAAATTTAAAAATCATTTTTGTTTAATGCAGACGTGTGCCGATTTTTATTTTTCAGGGTAATTTTTATATTTCAGGGTAAATTTTTTTAAATCCTGCAGAGGAATTTTTAGCATTGTATTTTTAGTGCCAACTTTTGGGTTTATAAAGATCCTTTTTATATGCGTAATTTGTTCAGAATGATTTAAAAATGAAAGTTTTACTAATTAAAACAGACATTTCTAGTAAATGTTTGAATAGGTAAATATTAAAATTACATCTCAATATTTACGATACCATGATCGATTAGATGTGATCATTGAACAGAATTATGAAGCAGAATTTTCGCTTAAAAAACTTTGTGCCAGTTCAAGTGATTAGAACAGACGCTCATAACTTTGCTAATTTAAGTCAGATTTCGTTGATTTTAGTTCCATTCTATTCAGCTCTTAGAGCTATTTCGAATGATATATAGTTTGTCATAAAATGAGAAAAATAGAAAATAATATAACGGAAAAAAGAGTGGGTACTTCCAAAGTATTTCTTTTAGTCTTTTTACTTCCACAATTTATGCTAATAAAACTACATATTTAAAATATAAAAATAAACATGGACTAATATTTAAATAAAAAATCATTTTTAAAATGAAAGTGTTGTTACTTTAATTTAGAAAACCAAAAAGTCAAATATTTAACAAAGGATTATAGAGGTAGATAAAAGAAATAAAAGAGAGATATTTACATAAATATATCATTAACTAAGGCTGGGATTTTTAATTAAATTAAATTTCTATTTTAAAAATTAGTTTTTAGATGGTTATTCTAACAAAGAGTTTTTTGTGACTTTTATTATGGCCATTCCAGACTATTTTAGTTTTTTATAGCTTTTTGATAGTATTCTGATCAGTAATTATATTTACTATCTCCAACTATGTTTTTCTCTATTTTTCAAGACTATTTTGGATTTTTAGTTACTCTTTTTGGCGACTATTTTACATTAAATTTTTTCGTGATTAAAATCCCAATCCTATCATAAAAAAGTATGAAATGAAGATAAATTAAAAATTAATAATTTAAAAAAATCGCAATCTTTAAAAATCAAAACTTATTTTGAATTTTTAAAACTGCATTGGAGTAACTTCAATAATCGACGTTACAATTCAGAATTTCATGAATATTTTTAGAAAAAAAATTTTCTATAAGAACATGTTTTTTAAAATCTTTACTTTTACTCTCATTTCTTTTTTGGAAAATAAAGATCAAATCCTTTATAAGGATCCTCAAATTCCAATTTCAAGTGTTTAATATCATTACTTCTAACAAGTCGAAGTTTTTTGTACATTTCTCCGTTTCCAATTCCAATATTTTTCTCAGATTCAAATTCAACAAATTTACTAACAGAACCCTTAATTTTATTAAAATTTAAAAGAATTTATTAAATATTATTTTACATTTAAAACATCAGCCCATTGTCCTGTAATTCGTTGATGAATTTTACCAATTGTTTCATTTTCAGCAACGACTACCAAATAGTCTGTAATTTTTTAAGTTTTATATAAAATAATTTAAAAATAATTTTGTGAAAAATATAAATATTTTAATTGGAAGTATGAAAATTTTTGAGAATTTATAAATATGAGAATTTCTTTAAAAGGTTGATGGATAAACTGCTATTTTATTTAAGAAACGATCAAAAATTAATACTTTTTTTGGCTCTTGTCCAGTTTATGCGTCCCATGAAAGTATATGCGTCCCATCAACAAAAAATTGGATATTTCTTGGTGTTGCAAAGTAGGGGTATGGTTCCGAAGCATTTCTTCATGTTCGGGATCTACGTCCACTGGATCTGGGACCGTTCCTTACTCTATACCTCGAAATTTCTGAAAGTTAAAATCGTTTTTCTGAAATTTTTAAAAATTGGCTATAACTTTCAGAAATTTCGAGGTATAGGGTAAGGAACGGTCCCAGACCCAGTGGACGTAGATCCCGAACATGAAGAAATGCTTTGGAACCATACCCCTACTTTGCAACACCAAGAAATATCCAATTTTTTGTTGATGGGACGCATATACTTTCATGGGACGCATAAACTGGACAAGAGCCCTTTTTTTCATTTCACAATAATTTAAATTCAAATCTTTATTGTTTTTACGCACAATTTCTCAGTCCCAAGGTTGTATGTAAAATAGGAGGTCCGACTTAAAATTAAAACACAAACTTGTAATATTTTTGTCAATTTTTCCTAAAGATACTTCGGGAGCTACTTTTTTAGGTAACAATTTAAATGTTTTTATGACTGTTTTGAAATGTTTTTTTGATTCATTTTTGAGCTGTTTCCAAGGCTTAAATGTCGGCAATTGTGAAGGTTTTTTATCTTCCTCCGAAAATTTATATCCGTTCTCAAAAGTGCATTCTTTTAGCATTTTTTCCAATGCATTACTAACACGTCCAGTAAAAATTTTGTCATCTTCATTTTTGGGTAATTCATCTTTGTAATAATTACAATCAAATTTATTATCATTACAAGGTTCAAAATGATATCCATTTTCGACATGCTAAATTATTTTAAGTTAATTTTAGATTACCATATTTTCTCTAAAATAGCACCCCCCCCCCCTCTAAAATAACCCCTCCCCTCTAAAATAGCCCCCCTCTAGAAGTCGATCGAAAAAAATACCCCCCCCCCTCTCCATAGTTAAAAATATGAAAAAAATATACTCCCCCCCCCCTCTCCATAGTTATAAATATGAAAAAAATATACCCCCCCCCCCTCTCCATAGTTATAAATATGAAAAAAATATGGGTTATAATTGTGAAATACCTACTTATTTTAGGGAAAATTTTTAGAAAATAAAATAATTGAAAATCTTATAGTGAACAAAAATTGGTTAAACTAGGGGATATTTTTACTTTATTTAAACATATTAATTTGCCAAATTTCGAAGATAAATTGAAGTAAAAATGAAAAATTCAAAAAATTAAAGTGAGTTATAATTATGAAAAGCAGTGTACATATTTGTCATTATATTCAGAAATAATGTAAAACCTCAAGAAAACTAAAATTTATCTTTTAATGACTAATATCTTAGTAAACTTGGATATATTTCATATACCTTAGCAAATCCTGGATCATACTTGACACGTTTAGTCTCCAAATTTTTGCTAATTTGTGTTGCAGTTTTCAAAGATTTTGTATCCGGAGCTGCAAGAATATGCGAAATTGGTATCTTTTTAAACCTGAAATAAAAGTGTATGACAATTAATTAATAAAGGTTGAAGCATATCAAGAAATAAAAGGTGCCGTGCCGTTATTATAAATAATATAAAAAAGTGTTAACAAACAACAAAAAATTTAGATTAAACTTTTAACAGTTTAAATTAGAGTTCGAACCCGGGCCGGGCCCGGACCGGTTTTTTCCAGGCCCGGTGGCCCGGAACCGGGTATTTTAGAGAAAATCCGGTTTTTCCGGGCTAACCGGTTTTTCCGGTTTTAACCGGAAAAACCGGCCCGGGTGCGGTTTTGTGTAAAAAAACCGGGTCCCGGGCCCGGTAATTTTTTGCCGGGCCCGGAGTCTTTTTGACGAAGTCAAAAAATGTAAGAAATATAGCTATTTGGCCATCCAATTTTTCAAAATTTTCGCCTCCGGCGGTAAAAAAGGAAGAAATCTGGGGGCCTACCTACCAAAATTCTCAAAATTTTCACCTCCGGCGGTAAAAAAGGAAGAAGTTTGGCCCCTTGGAGTTCCAGAATTCTCAAAATTTTCGCCCCCGGCGGTAAAAAAGGAGGAAATCTGGCCCCTTGGCCTTCCAAAATTCTCAAAATTTTTAAAAAGGGAAGAGAAATTAATGGGATTAAGAAGTATATCGAGGGCTTAATTAAGCTAAACCAATTATTTCAAAAATTGTGGATTTGCGTTTGACTTGCGGATTGCGTCTGCGGATTTTAAAATAAAAATTGCGAGTTGCGGATGCGGCTGCGGATTTTAAAAATAAAATTGCGGATTGCGGCTGCTGAAAATTTTTTTCCACCTGCGGACACTCCTGCTATCTATCCTTTAGCGCATCTATCCTTTAATTCATCTATCCTTTAATCGATCCTTTGTATGTTTTCCGATCCTTTGTATGTGTGATAATTTTTTTCATGTTTTTAATAAATTTAGAAAAACCCGGGTCCGGGCCCAGGTCTGAAAAAATCCGGTTTTTCCGGGCTAACCGGTTTTTCCGGTTTTATCCGGAAAAACCGGTGCAATTTTGAGATGCAATTTTGAGAAAAAAAGTGCAATTTTGAGAAAAAAAACCGGGTCCCGGGCTCGGCATTTTGAAAAGTTCGAACTCTAGTTTAAATATGATTTAATCAACTATATAACAAATTTGTGTCATTTTCTATATACATATAATCTCTACTATATAATTAGTGACTATTAAGGTTACCGAAATTTATACTCGTCGAATTACGAGTAAAAACCCAAAAATAAGTCTGTTCGGGAATTATATTTAGAGATTTTTCTTTCTGTTATTTATAAACTCAGAATAGCTAAAAAGGAAGTTTTACTTGAAATATTGTGTAGAAAATTTAGTAAAAAATCTTATTAAAATGTTCGAAAATCATTTACCATACCGCATTTATTTATTAAAATTATCTTACAATTCCTTCAATTTCTTCAATTCGTTATCGTTGGCATTCCCATTAACCAACAAAAAAACAGTTTTAATATTGGGCCAAACAAATGATAATTTTAAACAGTTTGGAGTTGGAACATTATCTAAAGAGTTTTTGCCAATATCATTTTCTTCATTAGGTGGTGTTGATGGAAATGATGATGTAGACGGTCTTGTCGCTAGAAAAATTTGAAATAGTAAATATTTTAATTAAAATTTTTAGTTTAATATTTATAGATCCGTCAAGATTATTAACAATCCCGATTAATCTTTTAACACTCTTACATCTATTATGGCTTGTCATCAATTCTAGGTAAAAATCCCAAACTAACTTTCTATTTATAAATATAAGAAAGGGCTAGCTATATTAAAGCAGACTTAAATTTTAAATAATTTACATGTCCCTGGTGTTATACAGTGATTATTTCCTTGATTGTTTTTCGACCTTATCCACCAATAAGGTTGTGGAAATAACCGCATATTATGTGTAATTTCGCATTTCTCCAAGTTTAATTCCAAGGAATTTTTTATTTTTTTATAATTATCATAAAAATTCACTTTTCGTATTTTTAACGAATTGTCAAAATTTTCAATGATTCGATTTAAATGATTTTTTCGGAAATCTTTATAACGATTTTCGTCCAATTTTATTTTCTAAAATTAAAAATAAAAAAAATTTAGATAAATTGGAAATTTGGATAAAATATGGAAATTAATGTCACTCCCTTTCAGTTCCGAACCGAGCTATTGTTAAGCATTTAAACAAAAACGAACTTTTTGAATTGCAGCTAAAACTGTTCCTCCTTCAAAATCATTTGAATTAAATAGTTTTTCAGCAAGTTTATCAGCAACAGTATAGTAGAGTATTTGCAATATCCAACCAAAATACATCATTTTGGTTTTGTTTCTACTTTTAATTAAATCTTCATATATTTGGTTGTCAAGAGTTTTGTCGATAAATTCATAGAACTTGTCTAATTTAACAATATCATTACCAATAGAACCACAATTCTAAATTAATTAATTACTAAAAATATTAAATTTATTTTTACATTGTTGATGTTATCAAGACAATTTTCAATTGATTCTCGAATTTTTTTGTAAGGTTTCTCATTAAGAGGGATTGTCTCTGTAAAATAAATTTTATTTAATAAAAATATTTTATATTTGTTAGGCATTTATAATCATAACTCCATCTTAATTATTCGAATTTAATCATAATTTCAAGCTTAATTTAAATAAAATATTTTGTAAAATACGCATCTTTGATTTTCAATGTAATTAAACAATAAAAATTCGTAGAAAATAATCCAATAATAAATCCTCATAGTTACAAGCATAATTTCAATTTTATCCATATTCAAATACAATTTGAACAAAATATATTCTCTATCATAAATAAATACCTTGTTCAACATCTCCAAGAGTTCCTTCCTTTAAATAATTCAAATGACATGAAAGCAATGCAGCTACTCCATTTGACGATATCTCTATTTTTTGAGATGGTTGGGAAGTTGCTTTTTCTAAAAATAAAAATATAATTTACGAATAAAATTACAAATTTACAAATCTCTCAAATATAAAAAAATATTTACAAAATGCAAAATAAGAAAATAAATAAATTTAAAATATTAAAACTAACCAAAATAGTAAAGAAACACTAGAAGAAATAACAATTTCATTCACGGATTTTAAAGCTTTAAATTTTGCTAAATTTTAAAATTTTTTATAAAGTTAACTTATAGGTATGTTGGGTATTCTGGCTCTCACCGAAAAAATTTGGAAAGTTCCAAAAATGCAATTATAAGGGTCTACAGCCGGAACTTTACTGAAGAAAGATAAAATCAAGCTCCTGCTTCAAAAGATCTAGTCTCCGAAACAGAGCATACCCAGCACTTATTGCTTTATCGGAAAAATGTGGGAAAACAATTTATAAAACTCTGTTGCCATAAACACAAAATGAGGACCTAATCTGTAAAAAGAAAAATTTCCTTAAGTTGCTAAATAAACAAATCGCTTATAATGAAAATTTATTTTTAAATTAAAATTTAAAAAAATAAAAAAGTATATTATTATTGTTAAAAAAATTTTTATTTAAAAATACAAGAAAGAGGTGGGACTTTAAAAATTATTAAATTTAAAAATAAACATGTGAATGTCGGCAATTGTGAAATTAAAAAAGAAATAAATAATATACATGTGAATGCCCTTTTTAAATATTTTTTATTAGAAAAATCAAAGACAAAAACCGACAGAATTAATAAATAATAATTTAATTTTATTTAGAAATGTGCGCAACAAAAAATTATTTTTATTTAAAAATATAAAAATAAATTAACAATAAATTCAATAATATTAAATGTTATTTAACAAAAAATTTTTTCTAAACTAAAATTTCATCAAAATTATATAAGCATTACGGTTTTCATTTTTCAGTTTAATTTTCAGTTTTATTATAAAATTGATTGAATTTCACTTAAAACGGGATTTTAATGAAAATAAAAAATATCAAGTTCAAATATAATATTTTATTTAATTTAAAGCTTTATTTAAAAGTTTCTTTCGAGTTAACAAACACATTGGATAAATGATTCAAAAATTTTGTTTTTAGTCTTGCTTCATAAATTCTTTAAATCCTCTTCGTCTTTTGAGTATTCCTACGTTCGGGCTAGTTCCGATTTCTAATCCTGCTGTTTCATACAGCCCCGCTGCTCCATTGAAACTCTACTATGTAGTTACTAATTCATTTTATGTTTAGACTTAATTAAATAAATATATGTCTATAATTTAAAAGATTTTTATTGCGCACAGCATTGCTTAATAAAAAGAAAAGAGGAAAGTGCAAATATTTAATCAGTCAAAGGCAATTACAAAATATTAAATTCAAAACACGGGGATGAGCATAACACAATTTAAAAATAAAAAAGTTTCTATGTAATAAAAATTCGTATGAAATTGACCGTAAATTTTTTTCTAATTAAATTCACGGTTTATTGAAAATAAAGGTTTTAATCTTTTAGATCAAGGTTTTTATTGAGATGATTTGAAAATAAAATAAATATTTCTCCTATTAATTCTAATTACCTATTATTAAATAAAAGAGTAGAAAAAACAGAAATCAAAAACATAATTTAAATTGAATTTTAAATAAACATTAAAAAATTAAGAAATATTATTTTGAAATAAAAAATATTGTTTTTTTGCACTTTTAAAAATAAAGTCGGCAAAGTCTATTGAAAATTTTATTTTTAATTTTAAAACTTTATGATGAAATATGTAGACAGGAAATATATTTCATGAATTAAAAAATATAAGAATATTTAAAAGTTTAATTATTTTTACAGATTAACATTTAATATAAATTTTGTTTTTCATCAATTTTTAAAAGATTTATTTATAAAAACAAAAATAAAATTTTTATTTTTAATTTAAAATATAAATTTAAAAAAATAATTTTCTTAAAAAATGAAAATAAACATTTATTTTTTAATTAATTTATTATTTATTTTAATATTTTTTAATTATTGTTTATGTCCACGTCCTCCAAAAATTGGAAAATCTGTTAGTAAACAAATAACTAATAAATTTGGTAATTTTAATTAAATTAATTAATTGTAGGTAAAAATAAGAGGGGTTTTATTATTTTTTGTTACAAGCTTTGGGACAAAAAAGTTTTTAATTAATTAATTTTTTAACTTTCAAGATATTTGTAATATGGAGAATGAACAAATAGAAAACCTTTATATTCAATTAATTTTTGAAAAAGAATTAAATGATCCAAATTTTAAAGAAATCCATCAAAAAATAAATTTAAATCTTTTTTGTGAAAATATTTTAAAAAATAAAAATAAAATAAAAAAAGAATTGGAAAAAGAAAATAAAAATTTAAATAATGAAATTAGAAAAATTGAAGGGTTTGAAAGATTTGAAAATGAGTGGGCAATTTTGGAGGGAAAAAAGGAATATATGGAGAAAATTGAAAATAAATTAAATGATTTTGAAGAATTTTATAAAAATAAACTAAAAGAAATTGAAATAATTGATTGGAAATTAATTATAAATTTAATGGAATTTAAACAAATATTTGAATTATTTTTTGATGAATTAATTAAAAATAAATTAAAAAATGAAGAAATAATAGAAAATAAAAGATTAGAAATTATTAAAGAAAAATTTAAAATATATAGAGAAGAAATTGAAGAAGAAGAAAATTTGGAAGAAGAAAAAATTGAAGAAAAATTGAAAGAAATTGGTAGTAAATTAGATATTGAATTAATGAATGTTGAAAAGTAAGGAAAAAATAATAAATTTATTTTTAAATTTAAAATATAAAGGAAGATAACAAAAACCTTCTAATAGAATCACAAACACTTTAACAGAAACCCATTCCCTAATAATTAAATTAATTATGTACAAACTCGATCTTAATTTGAGCTACTAAATTGAATTTTAATTTAAATTTGGATTAACATAAAAAGTGCCAAAAAGTTAAATTATTAATCTAAATCTATTTAATTTTTCTTAGATTAAAAATAATTATCAATAATGATATTGAACAAATAACTTCTAATACTCCTTTAAAAAAGAAGAAAATTTCAAGCCAAATTGTTACAAAATTAAATAATATTTATTTAAACTCAGAAATTGAATTTCTTAAAACTAAAGAAAAAATGAGGGAATTATTTGGAGAATTTATGTTTAGTGAATTGGAACTAAAATATCCTCTTTTATTTAGAATTGGTTAGTTTTAAGAGGTTATTTGGTAACTTGATTAAAAGCATATAAGAATAAACCTGCTCTCGAAACAAAAATTTTAATTTAAGAAAACTTTTTATGTAATTTAATTAATGTATAAAATAAAAAGGTAAATTAGAAGGGTTAAATAAGTAATTTAATGTAAAGAATTAAGGAATTAAATAAATAATATAAAATTTTTAAAGATCTTGTTGAAGACTCGGAGAAAATTCGCCGATATAAAAAATTATTTTCATATCGAATTAAATCCAGTGAGGCAAGAAAGATTGGGTATAATCAAATTCTTTGTATACTTTTTGAAAATTATTTGGAAGAAATTAAAAAGAAGAATGATAATAATGAAGAAAAAATTAAAAATGATGTTAATAAAACCTGGAAAAAAATATATCCTTATTTAATAAATGAAAGTAAAACAGAATTAGAAAAAATTATTTTAATATTAAACGAACAAATGGAAAATCCAAAAACACAAAAGGAATTATTTAAACAAATGACTAATAAATTATTTGAAGAAATTAAAGAAATAAATAATAAAGAAACAAAATGGAATGAATTTAAATTATTTTTTGATCAAAATTTTGGGGCAATAGGACGCGTAAATTATACAATATTTGGGGATATAAATATTGATTTTACAAAGGAAACTTTGCGGAATATTTTACCAATTGGTACTAAAAAGTTTTAGATTAGTTAAAAAATAAAAGTTTATTAACTTGTGTTTATTGACCCATCCTAGAAAATAAAATATCCGATAGACTTAATCTTGAGAGCTCTTCTACCAAAAAGACTTTATTTGCTAGACAGGGAAGAAACTTCGCTGGCTAACAAATATTAACATTTTAAATTTTAACATGGAAAGAGGGAAAAATATTAAAAATTCCAATTATAAAAATAATTATTACCAAAATTTTAAATAAACAAAACCATTTACGTAAATATAATAGAAAATCAAGGACAAGTCAAAAATAATTTAAAATAAATTTATTTATACATATGAATTTTGTTTTAAATAGAATATAATAATTACCTATAATCTGAAAAATATATATTAATTTTAAAATGCATTAATCACAATTCTTTATTTCAGAAATAGGTAATGAAAAATTATTAAAATGGTTAGCTTCTAGCTATTTGGAAATATTTGGCAATTTTGATGAAAATGATTATAATTACAAAAAATCAAAATTTACAGCAGATATTTTAGTTTTAATTTTAAATTTTGATAAAACTATCTATAAGAAATTTTTTGATTTTTACGGAAGGAGAGAGGAATATTGGTTAAGTGTTCGTAAGAGAATTATTTTCTTTTTGGAAGAAATTGTTGATGAAGAAAATAAATTTAATCAAAATAAGGAATTTTATTTAAAAATAATTTATAAATTTAATCGATTTAGAAAACTTTTGGAAAAAAATGAACATCCAGATAAAATTACAAAAGAATTTAAAGAAAAAAATTTTGAATGGAAAGAAAATGAAGAAATTGAATTTAATAAATTTTTGGAATTGGAGCATTCGAAAATGTTAGAAAAATTAATTAAGGAAAATAAAATGTTTAGAAAAAAAATTGAAGGTTTTATTCTTTTAATTAAAAAATTATTTATTGTTTAGAATTGAGACCTTTTGAAAAAACTAGAATGAATAAAATAACAGGAAAACAAACAGAATTGGACACAAAAGTATTAAATTATTTAATTAAAAACCTTTAGATTAAGTTTGATTATAATTAAGTTAAATGGTTTTAAAAAATAAATATTTTATTCAGAAAAAAGATAAATATAATTTATAAAATATTTTAAACCTAATAAAAAATTAAAATAAAATTTTAAATATATATTTCTCTGATAAGTTGAAGATTTTTTGTTTGAATACAAAAAATATACAAATCACTAGAGCTGTGTAGAACAGAAATTTTGGTTGGAATTTAAAAAGAAAACAAAAAATCGCCAAATCGTAGAAATTACCTTTATAAATAAATTATTATTAAAAAGGTTTATTATTTTTAGATAATTTACTACAGCTGTGAAGATAATTTTGATGAAGAATGTAATACATATTTTTTTTAATTTTCTAAAATTTAATTATTTAGTAGGTAAAAACAATAATATTAAAGAAAATGCTTTTACACAACATTTTAATTTAATTATGGAATTATTTGAAAATTTAGAGGAAGAAAATTATTATGAAAATTTTGATGAAAAGTTCGCGACCATTTATTTAGAAGCAACATTTTTATTTTATAAACAACAAATTAATAGTTTTCCTCAATTAAAAGCTTTTGAAAATATTAGAAAAGATATAGATAAATTACATAAAATTTTAGACGATGAATATAAAATAATAAATAAAACATTAATTTATCCGGAATGGCTTAATGAAATTATTAATTTAGATTTTGAGGTATAAAAATTTAAATTTAAAATAAAAAAATAGTTAAAATATATATATGTAGAAGGGTTCTTCAATTTTTTTTGTATAAAAATTCTTAAATGATTTTTAGTACTTATTTAGAGAAAGTATTTTTATTTAAAAAAAGTTATGTCAAAATAAAAATAAAATTCAATTAAAATCCAAATTTTTAAGGATATTTCAAGAGAAGAATTACAAAAAATATATTTTTTATATATAAAATGGTTAATTGTTAATTCAAAAAAGTTTCGACAATTTCTTTGCAAAAAAGCAAACGAAAAAGAAATATTTTCTAGAATAAAAACAATTTTAAATTCACTTGTTGGGTTTGACTATTTTGAAATTTTAGAAGAAGTATTTCCAGATATATTGAAAATAAGTATATTTATTTATTTAAAATAAAGGAGTATTTAATTAGAGATTTAATTTTAAAATAGAAAACATAGAATACATATATTTACCGTAAATATTATTCTTAAATTTAAATTATTTAAATTAAAAACTTTTTAAAAAAATTTCCCCGTTGCCCTCCAAGTTAGACTTAACTACTAACCACAATAGAAAGTGAATATTTTAAAAATAATTTTATAATTAAATAAAATATCATTAAGATTTTCTACATGCAGCTACAGAAATAAATATTTACAATAAATTTCTCAACTATAAGGTTGGAGAAATAAATTCGAATTCAGTTGAATTAAGAATGTCTATAGCTATATTAATTAATATTTTAATAGCAAACAAAATAAAATCATCTACTAATTTAAAACATAAACTAAATAATGAGGAACATCCAAATAAATCAAATATTGAATTATTGGAGGCTTTTGAAAAAAAGGCAGAATGGTTAAAAATAAAAATATTTTCATCTGAAAGAATAAATTCTTTAAAGAATGTTTGTCTAATTATTCGATTTTTTCTTCTAACAATTCCAATAATTAACAAAAATATTCTTAATAGAAATAGCAGTTTAGAAGATTTATTTAAAATGGAAATTGAAGATAAATTATTAAAAAATACAAAAAATATGGAAGATATTTTAAAATGGGATGGATTAGAATGTGAAAATGAGAAAGAACAAAAATTGGCGTTAATGCAACAAAGATCTTATTTAATTAAACAACATAAATATTTTATTCAAAGAGAATGGGAAATTTTAAAAATTTGTAAAATTCCAGGAATGAAAACTAGACTACAACAATTAGTGCCTCAACTAAAAATGCTTAGCTTTGTTTTAAAAAGCGAAGGTTTTTTTAATTTTTTATATTGAAGTCGAATCAGGATATAATATTTTCCCTTGCGTATACAACTCAGTTTATTGTACGCTTTTTAAATATTTATGGTTGAAGATTAGTTGATGATACCTCTACTTAAGTGTTCAACTCAGTTTTGTGTAAGGTTTTCAGCTCCAAATGCGTATAATTTACTATAACTAGATTCAAAAGTATTCAAAAGTTTATTGTTTATTAAAATTTTTGTGTGATTTTCTTTATTTAAAAATAAATTAAAATCTATCATAAAATTAAGAATGTAGGTAAAGCAAATTTATTATTTATCACCGACTTTTATAAATTTTTATCATTAGGGTTGAAAAAACTTTATGTAAATATAAAAACTTAAAAAAGTTTAAGAAGAATTATTTTAATTTAACATAAAATATTTTTTAAAGTTTTTTCATCTGATTGGCGCGTTAGATCACATTTCATGAAAATAATTATGGATGAATATCAACATGGGAAACTTGAAAATAAAATTGCTTTAAATTTTCTAGTTTGGGTATTTTGGGTAGAAAAGCAATTTAAAGAAATGAAAGAAGAAAATAAAGAAGAAATTAAATATTTAAATAAAATGTGGTTATTTAGAAGGGGATATTTTTATAGTAAATATGATGAATTATTTGAATTAAATGATAAAAATAAATTGGAAAAAGAAGGAAATTTAATGAGTAAAATACAATTTGGAATTTGGAAGAATTTGAAAGAAAAAAAATTAAAAAAGAAAAATTGGGAAAAAGAATGGAGAGATATAGAAAATGGAATTATTAGAGTTAAAAAGGAGGAGGAAGAAGAATTTGAAGAATTTTTAAATAAAGAAAAGAAAAAAGTTTTGAAAAAAGAGATTAAATGGGAAGAAGAAGAAGAAAATTTGGAGGAAAAAGAAGGAAGAAAAAATTTTTATAAATTTGTAATTGAAGGTAATTTATAAATAATTAAAGGAATAATAATATTTTTAAATTTATTTTAGCTTTATCTAAAGAAATTAGAAGAAAAAGATTGGAAGATTTAATTGGAATTTTAAATACAAAAGAAATAATTAAAAATATTAAAAATAAATTAATAAATAAATATTTAAAATTAGAAAATTATGAAAAAGAATTTTTAATTGAAATTGAAAAAATAAAAGAGGAATTTGAAAAAATTGAGAAAAAAATTGAAATAGAAAAAGAAGAAGAAAGGGAGGAGGATGAGATAAATAAGATAAAAGAAGATGAAATAATTAATGAAGAAAAGGATAATGAAAATAATACAAAATTGGTAAATAAAAAATTTATAGAAAATTATAAATAAATAATATAAATAAATATATACATATAAATAAATAAAAATAATTATTTTTAAGATTGCTAATATTCTTAAAAATGAATTAAATAATAATGATAACAAAAAATTAATTGAAGGAGCTTTGAAATTATTAAATAACAATTTTATAGATAAATGGGCTTTGGCAAACAAAAAACAGGCATGAAATTTTTGTTTAAATTTGAGTTTAATAAAAAATGAAGAAAAAAATGTCCGGTATTTCCATGCTGTTAATAGAATAGCAGCAATATTTCTACCTATAAATAATAAAAGCTGTAAATTTCAAGTTCGGAAACACTAATGTTAGTGTTAAAAAAAAAGTTCATGGTTGAATAAAGACCACTTATGTATTTATTAGATACGATTTAAACCTAAAGCCACGGGGGCAGTATTTCCAGATTAACGATATTCTAAAAATTTATTCTAATTATTCAATTAGTAAATTTATTAGGAGGTCTATTTATTTTCAACAAATTTATTTGAATTAAATAATTACGATAATGAAGAAATTGTTGAAATAATTATTTCAACAGAAGAATTTACTAAAAATGAATTTTTTGGAAATATTTCAAATTGTACATTTAAAAGAAAAGAAATTTGTAAAAATGATATTTCTCTGTTTTGTATTCTCTGTGAGGTAAAAAATAAATTAATCTTTGTTATTCTTAATTTTTAAAAAAAATTTTGAGAAAACAAAAAATTCCAAATTAAATTAAAAAAACTTTTTGTTAATTTAATTACATAGAATTTTAAATAAAATCCCGTAAATAATACGTCACTTCAATTCATACATTTATTAAGTTCGGTTAAAGAAAGTAACCGAAATGAGCAGAATTTTATTGTAAAAATTTATTTAATAATTTAATAATTATTTAGAGCGAGGAAATTCAATTTATTCGAAAAATAGAATATCTTGGCCCTAAAATAAAAATTTATTTTAAAAACTTTTATTTCAATTTACATTTAATTTCTGTAACAAATAAAATATTTGGAAAAGAATTTGAAAAAATATTTAGTAAAATAGTTAATTCATATAAAAAACAAAAATTTGAAATTATTGATATGGTTATAAATGATTTTGTTAAAAAATCAAAATTGTCTATTAATCTAGATGGGGAGATATATTCATTATCAGGTATTCTTTAATTAAATTTATTTTTAAAATTAATTGAGGATATTTTTCTATGTAACGATATTAAATTATTTTTAATTAAAAAATAAATAAATACATATAATTTAAGAATATCGTTCAAATCTAAGAATGCTGCAAATATTGAAACAAATTGATGATAAGTTTTGGATAATATATAAAGTTGTACGTCGATGGGCTATAAGTAAAAATAAATAAATATTTAAATTTAAAAATATTTTTAGATAATTCAATTTTTGGAGAAATATTTGGATTATTAAATGAAAATATAATTTTAATTTTGGTTTATAAAATAATTGAGGAAAATAAGAAGGAAAATTCGATTTTAATTTTAATTGAGAAAATGTTTAGTGAATTAATTGAAATAAAGTAAGTAGAAATAAAATTAATTTAAAAATAATTATTATTTTAAGTAATGAGAACAATAAAATTATAAAAATAGAAGAAGAAATTAATGAAAATGTTGAGGATTGGAATTTAGATTTGGATATAGAAAGAAGAAAATTCGAGTTGGAGAATAATGGTTTTGCTAGTTTATTGTCTTCAGATAAAACAAAAATTATTTGGGGAATAATTAATTTAGGTTATCCACCACAAAATGTTGCTTATACAATTAATTATTATACACAAATTATAATTAAAGAAAAAATGGAAATTGGTTAGAGAAATAAATTTAAATATTTAAATTTAATTAATTTTTAGCAATTAAACAATTAAATGAAATTGAAAAGTTGGAAAATGGAAATGAAATTAAAAGAGAATTGAATAAATGGATAAAGGGAAAAGATTTTGTAAATATGGTTGGTTAAATATATTTTTTTATAAAATTTAGAATAATTTCCTAAACATTTTATTAGTTTGAGGAAATATGTATGTAATATTTTATGTTTTTTTTCTATATTCTTTTAGAGAGATCTGATAATTCTGTAATTATTAGACCAAATAAAAACTGAAAATTATTCAAATCTGTTGTACATAATCTGGCTAGAATTTAAAAAGTATAGGAGTTCAGGCATTGAGGAGTCTTTTACTTTAATTCTTAATTAATTGCTAAATTTAAAAAACATTTTTTCTAAATTTATACTTTTTAGTATCAACATTATTCACTTGTTATTTGTGCCTATTCTCCAGACAGTTTGGGAGGTCCTTCACTTTGTGATGTAATTGAAAGTCATTTAACATTTCTTTTGATAAAAAAATTTGAAACATTAAAATTTATTGAATATTTTCATATAAACCCAAAAGCTTTATTTAAAAGAGAAAATTGTCCAAAAGAAACAGGAATTAAAGAAGAGGTTTTTTAATTAAAAGAAATTTTATTTATTTAATAATTTTAATTAAAAGGATTGGAAATGTACTGGTTGGATTATTGGATTTAAAATTTTAAAAGAAGAAGAAATTAAGGAAAATATAGAATTAAAAAATAAAATTAAATCTTTAAAAGAAAATGATTTTAAAAAATATATTGACAAAAATGGAGAAGAGGGCAAAATTAAAATTGGAGCTTCTTATTTAAATGAGAAGAAATTTAAAGAATTTATCGCTGCATAAAAAGACGATAGAACTTTGTTTGAAAATGAGTTTTTTGGAGGAAAAAAGTTTGGAAAGATTTTTATAATTTAAAGAAAAACATTTGGAATTTTTTGGGGATATTTAATTTAAATTTATTTTTAAATTATTTTTTATTTTATATGTAATTTTTTATTTAGAAGTAAACAAAACCTTTTTTATTTTTATAAATATATAAATTTATTTTAAAATACAAAGTGTTCCGAGTTTAAGTTTTTTAAGTTTCGAAATATTTACTACATTTTTCACTTTATTTTTATGAAATATTTGAATATAAATCAAAATGAAGTGGTTTTCTACATTTTGTATCACTACAATTTTGTTATAAAATTCAGGATACGACAGGTTTATGTTTGGCAAAAATATAATCAATGTGATCAGGTTTTCGGTTCGGAATCGACCCGAAAATTGGAGATTTTTCGGTTCGTTGCGTCAGAACTCATTTCCCTAGAATCCGAAGAATTTGTTGATTGTGGAAGAAGAACATATGCTGATTGACCTTTTGATGTAGTAATGAATAAATATAGTGGAGATTACTTTTGTTCTTATTAATTTCAATAGTAATTAATATAGAAAATTGTTATTTTAATTAATTAAATATATTAATAAAAATTAAATTAAAAATCTTTGATTTCTTTTTAAACACTTTTTAAATTAAAAAGGAACGGCTGTCTATTTAATATATAAATTAGTGTGGGCGTTCATTTGTTGATTATTTCTTTATACTAAGCATCTGTTCGAATTTACTGAAAACTTTTTATTACTAGAATGAATTTAAAAAATTTTCATTTCAAGTAAAATCATTTTATTTTTAAAATTTATTTTTTATATTTAAATATTTTAGCTTTTTTAACATATATTTAGAAAATAGTTTTTAATCAAAAATACAATTTAATTTTTAAATATATATTTAAATAATATATATGCATAATTTTAAATTATTTTCACGGGATATAAAACTGCAAATGTTCGTAGGGTGGATACTTTTACGAGCCCTTTAGGAGTATCTAGCAATTGACATGAGCTTAGTAATATTTAATATTATCATAATCTCATCTCTTGATTTAAGTGTTTTTTGTGTTTACAGTCTTTAGTCTTTGTGTGTAGTCTTGAAAACATATATGGTCTCTAATTTTAGTCATTAGGTGTAGTCTTGTTCTTGTTTTGTACACTAAGATCATCCATTCGATAGGATGCTAATTTAACTAAAATCAACTTTATATACATATATTTTAGAATATAGTTAATATATATTTCAACAAATATGTTTGGAACAGCTCAAGATCCAGCTATTGTTGACTGTGCTATCTGTGAAAAGAGAGTTGAACATGCAGATAAATTTGTTGTGGAGAAAGAGATCAGTAAGTGAATTTAATAAATATCATTTTCTAAATAATATATTAAGTTACTTTAATTGATAGGTAATACTAGAAATAATAAATTGAATTTAAAGCTTGTATATATTGTATTCTTTTAATCAAAATTTAATTTTCAACCCTCTAGAAATAAATTTAATTTTAGTTCATAAAGATTGTTTTAAATGTGCCTTATGTGGAACAAGACTCCAAGTTGGATTTTGTGCAATGGAACTTTCCCTATATAATCGTTATGGACCTCGCTGGTATTGCTCATTAATTTGTGCGCATCAACCCCAAGCTGTTAAAGAAGCAAAACTTAAAGAATTAGGAATACCTGTAAATTAATTGAAAATTAAAAGAAAATTATTTTGTTTTTATTAAAGGTTCGTCAACCGAAAACAAAGAAAGAAAATTAAAAACAATGGCAAAATGATAATTATACAAATATGTATGTGTATGTATTTGAGGTGCCAGATAAGAAAATTATTTTAAATCAAGCATTGTAAAAGGGTTAAAACATTTAAATGAATAAAAATTATTTTAAAAATATTTTATTTTCGGGAAAGAATTCAATACAATTCTTACAGAGTAAAGAAAACAAAAAAAGAAATTTTTTGTAAGAGAAAATTCGCTTAAATTCCTGTGCATATACCTAATCAAAATTAATTATCAGTTTATCTACTGGATTTTGGCAGTTATAAATTTTTATTAATTAGATCTTCAAATAGTATTAAATACTAATTCAGGGGGTTGCTGTTCTCGATTCAAACTAGCATTTAGTATCTTATTTTATCGAACATATTTTTTTAAGTTATTTAGGTTTTACTTTTGCCTAGCAATTTTCCAAGCCAAATTTTCGCAAACTTGCTCAATTTTGACACGGGTTGGCTACCTATTAACATTAATTTTAATTATTCATATGTACAAGTACAATATTTTAAAGAAATTAAATAGTAATTTATTTTCCAGCATTTATTTGATATTTTCTTCACTATTTTTTCCATTTCTTTCATCTTTTATTTTAGTAGATCTAATACCCAATTCATTAACATATTCATCTACATTATCACAATTTTCTGTCGAATTACATTTTCGTAAAAGAGAAATTGCTTGGTCTCTCAATTTTGGTAAACGAAAATATTCGGCTTCTTGTGTTAATAAGGCTAGCCTGAAAAGTTTTATGGAAAATTATTCGAGTAATTTATATCTTTTAAATATTTATTTCTCTCAATTTATAATTTTATATCCATCTTTAAATACCTGTCTGGATCCTTAGGCAAGCAGACCTCCCAGAGTTGTTTAGATGTTTGCAGTCGCAAGTAGTTTAGAATTATACCAAAACTAATTGAATCTCTATCAATGAAGTAACGTCCTTTAATTATGAAATTTTAAAATTTATATCTTTTAAAATCCTTTACAAAATATTTAAAGAAATTCAAAATCTGTTTTGGAATTTAAAATTTTTAATAAATTGTTTATATTCGAAAATATAAGATAGTATTATAATTATGAGGGGGGGGATTATTATAATTTACTATCTCAATCATTAACAAAATAATTTATTTTTTAAATTAACCTTTTCTATCTTTATTTAAATGAGCCTGTCCTTTACGTTCAATATACCACTAAAACGAATCTTTTCTTTTTAAGTAGAAAAACTTTAATTTACCGAGTAAAGAATACAATTTTTATCAAAACCAATTGTTTCATATGTTGTAGAAAAATATTGTCCACCAACATTAAATTCTATTAAATCTGCCATTTCTTTAAATATTTTTTTAATTAAAAACGATTAAAATATTAATAAATATTTAAATAATCTTCTAATTTTGAGCTAATTTATTTTAAAAAAGAAAACTTCTATTTTTGGCAATGAAAACTTTTTACTAAAAAAAAATTATTTGCCAAACAATAATGTAAATAATAGAAAAAGCAAAATGCTTTTCCACTTATAAATTTCAAATCAATATTGTTTTTTTGAAAATAAGCCCTTGGCTTTCGAGTGCCGTCTAAGACAATACTATTACTATTTTAGTATTTTATAATTTTGATGAATGTTTCTATGGAAGTAAAAAAATAATTGTTATTGAAAAAATAAAAAGATTTAATTTTCAATTAGAAATATTTAATTAAGGAATTTCTAATTATTTTTTAGAAATTTAATTATTAAAAAATTATTTCGGAAAAAATAAAAATAATTGGATGTGTAGAGGAAAGGACAGAGCCAATACACAAATAGGGATTTCGCAAGAGCTGGGTTAGGCCAAAGGATTCCGTCAAAGTAATTGGTTAGGCCAAGAGATTCCAACACAATTGGCCTAGGTTTTAATTCCAACAGATTACCAACAAATTAAGCCAAACAAATAGTAATAAGTTTATTTCACACAAATAAATAGTCCAACAAATAGATTAATGATAAGGCCACAAATAGGAACAGGAGCCAGAGAGAAAGAAGCACGCCACAACAGAACCCAGAATCAAAGCAAGACAGAAGCTAATTGGGGTTTGGAGGGGGAGATTATATAGGCCAGAAAAATAGGCGGGTAGAACAGAGTTAAAGGTAAACAACATTCCTAAAGTGGGCAAAAAATATAAATTAATGAATGGCGGCTGGTACAAAAAAAGGGAATTAAACAGATGCGCTTATTTAATATAATAGAACTAATTTTAAATACAAAAGAGAGACAGAAATAAGTTTAGTTGGACAAAAGACGGGGCAAATTCAATAGAAAGAATTTTAGCTAAATTTAAAAATAGACTTTAAATTATTTATGAATAATCACTGGTCGCTTCCGCGACATTCCCGCCCGCGTCTTGAAGGTTCATCCTCTTTTTCTTTTTTATCTTCCATCTTTCAAGTATTTTCTTTTTTTCTTAATCTTCGGCACTTCAGTCATCGCACATCTTCTGTTCTCTTTCAGTGCATGCGCCCAACCGACCATAGTACTGAACAAAATGGCGACAAAGATCCAGCATGGATTGATCGCGGCAACGGCGGTGAACAGTGTTAAGGCTATCGAAGATCGAAGTAATCTTTTTATGCGTGCTCTATTTAGGCCATGTTTCGAGGTCATTTCTTGTTCCATCCTTTCTTTTGTTTTACATTTCCAAAATTTATTTGTTGCGCGGATAATCATCCTCAGAGCATTTTTAGTGCCATCTAGAATCACAACAAGAGCGGCTAAGACCATTACGAACATTTTCATATCTATCCATGAGCGGAAAAAGGAAAAGAAATCTGGTGGTTCCAGTCTTTCTCGTTTTATGCATTTTCTACGGTAGACGTGCACTTCACGTTTGAGCTTACCATTTTTGGCAATCAATTCTTGGTTAGCCTTCTGAAGGGCATTGACACGAGTTTCTTTCAGAATTCTTTTTTCATGAGCATCCACCATCCTCTGATTAGATTTATCCAATAGACATTTTAGACGTTTAGCTTTTTTGGACTCGTCCTCGGCTTTTTTGCGTGCCAACATAAGTTCGGACATCAATTTCACTATTGTTTTATCTTTTTCTTGGAGAGCTTTCGTCTTTTCATCCAGCATCTTTTTTGATTCAAACATCCCAGCCGGCTTCGAACAATGAACATAGCTTTTTCGCATAGGTTCCAACATTTGAGTTTTT